TATTCTATTTACCCATTTTAGATTAAAAGCTTTTGAATTAGAAAGACTTTTAGTAAATAAATTTATATTGAGTAAGTAAGATATTCAGACATTTTTCTCCAACTTAGTGTAAAGCTTTAGGGGGACTGTTACAGAAAATGCATACTTTTCTCTACTCATTTCATCTTAAAAAAATATTGGTTGGAGATAACACATTAATTGTTTTGACATAATATAGAGTATATAATTGCAGCGCTTCCAAAAAGGTCTCTTTTTATCACCCAACTTTCGATTCAAATGCAGTTTTTTTGCTTTCGCTAGAGCATCGTAACCCTGAGACCACATAAATAGCCGATTTTTTTATTTCCTTTTTTTGGGAGAGGCGGGGGACTGGTTGACATAGAGTACTATTTTTTGTAATTTTTTTCGGCTTTACATATATATTTGTTTATTCCAAATTTTAAAAATTGGCTATTTATATGGCCTTAGGGTTCCGATACTCTAGGGAAAGCAACAAAAATTACGAAATTTGGGTGTTCCTAACGCTGTGTAAACAAAGAACAGAGATATGGCTTTCTGTATTTTGGACACTTGCCAAAGTTCGTTATCTCTGTCCTTTTTTTCTAAATCTAATGATGTATATCAAAAGAAAGCTTAATTAGTGTACTTTGCGATGCGATGAATACCACGTCAATCAGAATTATTCTCAATAGGGATGCTATTCTGTAAAGGTATGTCTCGTTTTTTTGCTTATTTTTGGATATAAAAGTAGATATTTCTATCTGAAAAGTTTAACAAATGCATTGAACCATAAAGATAACTAATATAAACCAGATAAAAAAGAACTGTGGATGGCAATATCACTAGGACAAAATCGTCCTAGTTCTAAAGTCTTAGCATGAATACAACATGGTGATTCAATTTTGAGAGTTAAAAGCATATGAATTTAGGACATGGAATTCAACATATACTAAAGTTGAATTTTTTCCCATGCTCCACACAGGGTCACAGGGTGTTTATAATTTTCAAGGAGGATCATTTTTATGCAAACACACACAAAAAGTTTTTTTTGTTTATTTATCCTCATTTAGTAGACCTACATCGACTTTTATATGTAAAGGAATAAAATATATTATTTATCCCTATCAAACCGTTTTCTTTGATGATTGTCAATAGTAACAGATTGCAATGAGAAATAAGTGTGGAGTTGGTGACTAGTCATTTGCACCCATTATCTTTACTAAGAAGTAAATAAAGTCATGCAGATGCTTAGATGGGGTTGGATATTTGCATATTTATGGTACCTAAGACCTACGGTAATGTTTAAGCATAATGTTTTTTGTTGGAAACGCACAAAACAGATGCAATAGCCGCCCAAGAACTAACCATAGCTAGGCTGTAATAGTCGTTTGGTAGTTTCCTCATTCATGGACCTATACAATATGCTAGCTAACTTAATTTGACCAAAAAAATTTCAACCCCGGGACGGTCCCCTTAAGTAGTAAAGTTACCTTGGCTAGTCCATATTAGTCACTACTTTAAGCACTGATGGACTCATTCATCCTTGAAAAAATGTCATTAACTGTGTGTTTCGATGCTCAAGTTCAGAGATACTCTCTTTAGCCGCAGAAAGTATCTTAACTTAATTCCCAACTTTAGATGATAATGATGGGAGGAACATTGATAATCCTAAGGTTTGACATTCCTTTAAAGGGTTTAATTAACTACAGATGCATCCTATTTACTTCCTTTTTTCTGAATTCTCATACTACTGCCAAGTTCAGTGATTGGTGTGATGGGAATCTTATGGGATTTCATGTCTGATTATAGATATTTTTTCCACATCAGTTTTTTACTGAATATTACACAGTAACTTTCATAAGATTTGACCAGGGGTTAGAGGTTTTGATAAACCTTGGTTGTGTTGGAAAAGTCATTATACTGAATTCATCTCCACTTTTTTCAGAAATTGCAGAAGGCGATGAGAGTGTAGCTTTACATTTAGCAGAGACAGAAAGTTTGGAAATTGGTCACCAGGTACTAGCTAAAAATACTGAAGTACAAGTTAAGAATAATTTAACTCATGCCAGTGGAAAAAGAAACACCTTTAGTAGTCCAGAAAGAAAAGAGCTTTACCAGAAAACAGAAAATTCAGAGTGCAGTGCCAATACTCAGAGTGTGTTTGTTGCTGCTGGCAGTGTCAGAGAGAGATACATTACCAAAACTGGGAGCCCCAAGCGAATTAGAATAACAGCTGAAAACAAGAATGGAAAAAGCTCAGTGAGCAAGAAGATAGCAGAGCATTTCCAAAATGTACAAAAACCAGTAGTCTCTCCCCAGGAAGATCAACCTTCACCAAAGGAAAGTCACTCCATAAAGGTTAATGAAACACATAACGGAGAGCATAATAACCATCAAGAAACTGAAAAAAATAGTTCAAGTAGACATAATAATTACGTTTCCCTCAGTCCCGTGGATGTAAATGAGAGAGATAATCAGTGCAAGGTTAGTGAAACAGTAGTTCATCAAAAATCAAAAAGGAAAAGACTAGAGAAGAATCAGAATGGTACAGAGATAAGAGGAAAGGAGAAGCTTAATGTCCAAAAGAAACAAATAAATAAAGAAAGATCTTGCCAAAATGAAGTATTGTTTGTAGCATCAGGAATCTTAGAAAACTTTGAGGATTTTGCTAAACAAACGGAACCTTCAAGTACTTTGTCAATGATCTTTCCTACATTGCCTGTTAAAGAAGAGCCAGTAGAAAATGAGTTCCTTCCTGTCATATCCAATGTAAAAAGTGGAAAGGAAGCAGAAGAAATGCTAGAGACTTCAGAAGAGCCCTTAAGATTGTGGGTCAACCAAACTTTTAATTTACAGAAAGGACAAAATGGAAAAACAATCGAAGCTCAGCTGAGAAATAAAAACAATTACCCAGAAACAAATGGGCAAAATACAGAGTGTACAGCTGGAGTTTTAAGAAAATGGCTTAAAACAAATTTTATGGCGTCAAGCACTAATGTAACAGAACAAAATTTTGTTCCCCAAAATGACAAAGCTACACCAACAGAACCATCACAGATTAGTTTGAAAAAAAAAAGTAATGCTGTATCAAAGAAAAATCCTCAAAACTTGAATAGAAATTTTGTTACTCAGACTATTGTAAAAAATCCGATTCAACCTATGGTATCTCTTCCAGTACCTATGTCAGAAGTATGCAACACAAGTGTGAATGTTACACCCCAAAACAGTCATTTGTTATTTGAGAATTCAAATTTGCAGATGCAGGTACCTAGCTCTGTGCAGAACCCAGCCACACCTGCTGATTCCATGCAGAATCCAGTCATTGTTACAGACTCTATGCAGAATCCAGTCACTACCTTTGAGATTCAAAGTCCATCTTCAGGGGAAAAAAACAGGATTACAGGTGTCACTTCTAATGAATCTGATTGTCAGAATTTTGTCAAACATGGGAAGGGAGAACGTCTTAGGGAACTTTTAACTCAACCAAAAAAAACAGAAATAGATAATATTTCTTTGAATTCCAAGTTTGCCTCATTAATAACCAAAAACAAAAATCGACCTCCAATTCTAAAGTCTGCCACACAGCCATTAAATCCAAACCAACCTGGTGCAGCAGATGCACAGGCATATCAAACACCTTTGAAACCCATTGCTCCTCGTGTGCCTGGATCCTCATTAGCTACATTTACTCCTCTACTAGTCATCAATGCTAAATCACCTCCAGGTCCTCAATCTGCCTCCTGTCAATTAAATACAGTATATATACCGCCTCCTAACACACCACTGCACTCTGTTGCCCCTTCTGTGCCTGGAACCCCAGTTGATTCATTGGCTTCATATTCTCCTCTAATAGCTATCAGCACAAAACAAGCTCCAATCTCTCAGTCAGCCAACTTACCATTCAATCCAAACCAGTCACATGTAGCTGTTCAACAGGAACATCACACATTTCTGTACTCATTTGACCCCAATAAACCTGTGACTTCTGTTGCTTCTCAGGTTTGTCACTCTCCACCTTCATTTATACAGGATGGACAAACACAGACTGAAAATCCCCCTGCGGTTAATCATAAACCAGCACGGAGGAAAGGTGTGAATCATGGTAACCCTATTACATGAAGAGAGTTGTATAGGTTGCAGCATCTCAGGGTATTTACTTTAAATTCATATTGATATTCATTATGTTTTGACACTTTGGAAAAGCTATAACTTATTTGATACAGGTAATATATGTGGTTTACAGCTTTAGGAGCCTTTTCCCTCACTGAAATGGAGTTATTACGTGTAAATTTCACCCTAATATATTTTAACACCAAACTGTTATTTAAACTGCTTTGGAAAATTCTTTATAATAAACTTTGCATCTTTCATTGTTCAATGGCTAAGGAAATTTTGTTGCCCAATGTTCACAATTAACATCTTTCTCTATAAAACATGTCTGATAAATTGTTGAACTTCTATTTTAGTTTCAACCTCTACTACCCAATGTTACCTTTTTTATTTTATTTTTAATTACCTGGTTAATTCAGATGTAAATGGTTCTGGTAATGATACTGACAAAGGGATCCATATTTGAAAAATGGGGACTATTTCCAAAGAGAACATTTTGAGAGAATATCTCTCTCTCTCTCTCTCTCTCTCTCTCTCTCTCTCTCTCTCTCTCTCTCTCTCTCTCTCTCTCTCTCTCTCTCTCTCTCTCTCTCTCTCTCTCTCTCTCTCTCTCTCTCTCTCTCTCTCTCTCTCTCTCTCTCTCATTCATTTACCATTGACAATAAGATGTCTTTACTCTTGAAGATATGTTAACATCATATGCAGCACCTTTATATCTATATTAGGAATGTGTTTCAAGTTCATGTGTGGTGGTAATAGAATTTTATACTATTGTTTTAGATTTTTTTATTTGAATGGCATTTTTGCATGTGTACAATTGTACATTGCCTGTTGCCATGTATTGTATATTAATGAAAAATATATATTTTCAAAATAAATTTATGATCAAATGTCTTTATTTTCCCCTTTTCAAGTTGAAGGACTGCCGCACCTGCAATGATGAACATTTATAATGTAAGATGTTCTGTAATAAGGTTCTAACTTTAGGTTTAAGAATCTACTTCAATGGATTTTTTAGATAATTTATTAATTAGGCTACTCATTAAAAAAAGAATCTAAGTCTTGGTCTTCCAAGTAGCCTTAAGCAAAATATTTTATAGTTTTTGCTGTCTAGAATGTGTCTCTATTCTGACATTCCCTTTCAAAAGTATTCATTGACTTTACTGTCTCTTTTTATCAGACGTCCTTGTATGAAGTTTTTAATTTCTAAATCCCCCCCCCCTCAATCCTTAGCCCGTTGTTGTCGTGGGGGAGTGGGGCTTAGGAGACGAAGACTGAGACCCAATACAGGGATCTCCCCTACCTAGGGCCTCAGCCCTCGACTCAACTAATTTTGCATGGTCTTTCCCCCTCCAGCTTTTTGTTTCCGTCCCTTCTCCAACCCCTTCTACTATCTACTTCCTAAGGTGTAAGAGCCGTGCTGAAAGGATGAAAGGATGACCTTGTACCAGTCCTGAGCGGCCTGCAGTAACTATGGGCACGGTACTCCCGATTGAATTGTCTAGCCCTTACCTTCAGTAGCGAAAGGAGGTGGACCGTTTATACCACTTTATATAATCAAGGTTCCCCATGACCAGTAATGAAGATGTAATCCCCTTATTAGGGGCAATGAGGCTAGCCCCTTTATCAAATAGCCCCACCCCAGGCTCTCCTTTGACCACGACACCGAACACTGAAACTACTACCCACTCCTCAATGCTTACTAGTGCATTACCCACCCAAGCAGAGACTCAATCTCCAGAAGACATTCCTACCCTCCCAACTTCCTCAAATTCATCATCTCTATCCCCATAACCTTCATCAAGCACCCCATCCTCCCTTATAACTACCTTACAGCCTTATTCTCCATCACTCCGTAATACTCCCTCTTCCACACGTCCCCGACCATCCACCACCACCAACCCTACAGATATCTTAAATACTCTGTTTAGCCCAGCTAAATGGGACCGATTTTTTGTGATCCCTTCTACAGCTTACTCTGGCAACACTCATCTCTTTCAACAATGCCTCCAAAAACAAGTGGGCAAAGTCCTTTTCTATACCAGACGCGATCGCTCCCGGCTTGTAACAGTCAGATCAGAAACTGAATCTATAGCACTATCAAATTTAACTGATCATTCTGGCAACCCCATTCCTGCAGAACCTCATCCAATCCTTAATACTTGTACCGGAACTGTCTCTCTCCCCAGCAAACTGCCCAGTCGATACCAAAGATAGGTCAGAATGTGGAGAAGACTTATTAGGATGCCTCAAAGACCAAGATGTGAAATCAGTACATTGCTACACCATTCCTCCTAGAGGTCAACGAAAGAATCCGACCAACATTGCCAAAATTACTTTCCGTACACATAATTTTCCTTAGGTATCTACATTGGTGGACAATGCCTCCCTGTTCGACCATACCAACCCCCTCCCTGTCAATGTCAAAACTGTTGGCGCTTTGGACATCCTGCCAAACACTGCCGTTCCACAGACCGATGCCCCATATGTGCCCAACCTGGTCATAAGCGATCGAACTGCTCAGCACAAACACGTACATGTGCTAACTGCGGCGACCACCGTAATGTATTTTATAGAGGCTGTCCCACTTACAAGTTTGAATCTGAGGTAGCAACTCTCAGATACAAAAATGGTCTCACTTTACGTGAAGCCAGACAGAAAGCACGTCGACAAAGTTTCTCTCATACTCCATACTCTAGTAGCATCGTTCACTCAGCCCCTCCACCCCAAGATGTCCCCATTTCCACTTCTACATTCTACCTCCCTCAGACCAATTATTTTGCCACTCTAAATCCAGACACCCCAATCTCAACTACAGCCCCAACACCATCCCCTCTCCCTCCCCGCACTACCCGCAGTAGACGGACTAAATGTTCTAACCCTTCTTCCCCTACAGCACAGTCACCTCCACCTACCTTTACCTTTATTCATGAGACACTAGTCTCCTCTTCCCCCCTCATAAGAAAACCTTTGTCCCACAAAACTCTCCAACCAACTCCATTGCAGAAACAATGGATGACATTCAAAGCTATATGCTTGAGACACAAGATCCCATAACTCATGCTCCTTCCACACTTGAAGTGATTGCCGATATTCATACCCCTCCTACTAATATCCCCCCTACACCCCTTCCTCCTACTCACTCTCAACACAACCTAACCCCCTCAATTCTGTCCACCACCGATATCCATCCTCTCAATACCCATCCTCCTGATATCCATCCCCCTCTTACTCAGCACCCCTACACCCCCTCCTTCCTCCTAATCCCTCCCAACACAACCCACCCCCTTCAACCCCAACTATACGCACATTCTCCCTCCATCCATCCCCTCTATCCTTTCCACTCCCTCCCGGATACACACGTGAATCACTCATGTCACAACAATGCCCTTCCCCAGATTCCCTACCTCCTGATACCCCTCCTTCACACCCCTAGCACCTTCCCCCCCAGATTCTCCAACACGTACCGACGCTTTCTTACATTGGAATATTCGCGGTTTCCGTTCTCACAGACCAGACCTACGTCATATCCTTGCTTCTTATAATCCATTATCTGCCTCCAAGAGACTTTCCTCACACATCCTCCTATTCCAATTCCCAATTACCATTTTATCTCTTTCCCACACTGCCTTTATGTCTCGTCTATACTTATCCACCATAAAACACCTTATGTCATACCTCCCATACAAACTTCTGTCCCGTGGACAGCTATTCGCATCTTTCTTCGCCGCTGGATCACAGTAATTTCAGTCTACTTCTCCCCATCCCATCCCATTGACTTTGTTGCCTTTGAAACTCTAATTTCCTAACTCCAACCACCTTTCCTCGTAGTTGGTGATTTCAACTGCCGCCACACTCTATGAGGTGACTCTACCACCAACTCCCGAGGCCGATCTCTAGAACGCTTCCTCTCCACAAATAACCTAATTATTCTTAATTCAGATCGCCCCACACACTTTGACATGCGCACGCAATCCTTTTCATGCCTTGACACTCTCTCTATGCTCTCCTACTCTACATTTAGATGTCCATTGGTCAGTTCTAGACCACTTCCCAGTACTCCTTTCTCCTACTTCATGTGTACCACTTCCTAATCCTCCACGCTGGTGCTTTGATAGAGCTGACTGGCGTACTTTCACTTCACTCTCTACTATACCTATCCATCCACCCCCTTACCGTCCATTTCAGATATGCTACAATGTTTTACAACCACGATCCTAAGAGCTGCCTATACAACAATTCCTCGAACTTCAAGACCTTATACCTCTAAATGTGTTCCATGGTGGAATTCTGATTGCACCAAAGCGCTTCGCTTAAAACGAGCAGCCTGGAACAGCTATCGCTAGAAACGAGGCACCCCTCACCAGCTATCAGCCCTTATTTCCTTTAAAAGAGCATCTGCCCATCTTCGCCGTACAATCAGAAACAGTAAAACAAATAGCTGGCAAAATTATGTTTCCTCAATTACATCTACATCTATTTTAGCTGTTTGGCGACAGATCCATAAATTAGCAGGCAAACATCCCCCCATCCTGCACCCGTCCTCCATATTCGAGATACTCTCATCTCTGAGCCTGTCGAAGTAGCTAATGAACTGGGCAACTATTTCAGCCAGGTCAGTAGTGGCTCTCACCTTTCCCCACACTTTTCTTCCATTAAAGCCATCAAGGAACACACCCCTATTACCTTCACCCTATCCTCTGATGAGTCCTATAATGCTCCTTTTTCTTCTGAACTCAACGCTGCATTACAGTCGTGCCGCAACACTTATGAAGGCCCTGATGGTATTCACTATCGTATGCTCCGACACCTCCCATCTTCCTCTCTATCCTTCCTTTTAACTATTTTCAACCACATATGGACGTCAGGAAATTTTCCTTCTCATTGGCGAGATGCTCTTATCCAACCTTTCTTAACACCCAATAAATCAGGTACCCTACCCCAAGATTACCGCACCATTGCTCTAACTAACTGCTTGTGCTAAAACGTTAACTTCCGCTTAATATGGCATCTTGTATCTCATAATCTCCTTTCCCCTTCCCAGTTTGGTTTCCGACGTGCCCGAAGTACAGCAGACCCACTTGCCCATTTCGAGACATATATTACATCTGCATTTGCACGCCATGAATCTTTATTAGCTATATTCTTTGATCTAGAAAAAAACATATGATACTACATGGCGGTACCATATCCTCCAACAATTGTCCTCCCTAGGTTTACGTGGAAACATGGGCGTTTTCATTAAATCTTTCCTTTGTAAACGTACTTTCCAGGTCAAAATTGCCTCTTCCACGTCATCATCCTTTCCTCAATTCGAAGGCGTCCCACAAGGAAGTGTGCTTAGTACCACTTTATTCCTTCTTGCTGTAAATGACAGTCTCAGTCCTACCACCAGGAGCCCGGGCATCACTATATGTTGATGACTTAACCATCTATGCATCTGGCACATCCATACCAGATCTCTGTCAATTCCTTCAGTCTGCAATAACATCAGTAACTTCTTGGGCCACCAACCATGGCTTTCGCTTCTCTACTTCTAAATCTCGCTCACGTATGGTCCCCGAACCCCCACTCTTCTTATATAACGCTCCACTCCAATACTGTTCTTCTGGCAAATTTCTAGGCGTTATATTTGACTCCAAATTGTCCTGGCGAGAGCATATCTTGTACATCAAAGAAAAAGTTCAACTCCGCCTCCGAATCTTACAAACTCTTTCCCACATCTCCTGGGGCTCAGATCGCAAAACTCTCCTCCATCTTCATGATACCTTAATTCTCTCCACTCTAGATTATTGATGCCATATCTACTCCTCTGCCTCAACCTCCCTTCTTGCTCACCTTGATACAATCCACCACATCGGTCTCCGCTTAGCCCTTAGGTCTTCCGCTC